TTACCTTTTAATGTAGCAATTTTTGAGTCTTTTTATCATTTTTTTCCAATTTAAGGGTCTTTTGGATCTTTTGGGGTCTTCCTGATTAGGGAAAGTTTGCAGAGAGCACCACAGTTCTCTGCATCGCTTACTGTTAAAGCATATCAGTGTCTGTCTGGCTTGGCAGAGCCATTTGTCTCTAGACCAGATTTTCAAGTTAAAAAAAATCTTTGAATGAGATGAGGTAACAAGGTTTAATTCAGTGTGTATATGTGGTTAGTGAAGAAATACTCTGCAAAAACACCACAGAAGCTAAACCTGTGAAATTATTCCTTCACTGAAGATTTTCCTGTCCATGGTTTTTGCGAATAACACTTGTTTTAGTTCTCAGTAATTCCTGTTGCAGGCAAAATTTGGTACTCTTTCACTTCAGCTGAAACGAATTTTAGAGGTTAAGTAACAGGAAGCTAAAGGTATATTGAAGGGTAAAGGGACTGGGGATGGCTGAAAAGTTGAAAATTCCTGTATACAGGCACAGCAGATGATTGTGCAGTGAAGGAGAACACTTGCCACACCCATGTCAGCACAGCTAGTGCTGATTTTTAGGGGAGTTTATAATAATGTGAAGTCTGTTTGAAGCTCACTTTGTGGCTGTAGATTATAGATGCTCTTTTTTGCCTGAATGCCTTTTGAAGAATTGACTGTTACTTAAGGTTATTGGTCTTGCTTGAGTAGAAATATATAAAGTTATGGATACTAACATTAAAATTGATCTAGTTGTGGGGCAGAGCTCTGTTAGCTGTGTCATTCCAACACAGTGTCACTTTATGGTAGTTTCCCTGTTTAAAGTGTTCTCCTGGGTGACGTGTATTTCCTGCCCATAACTTCTAGAGTTTCATATTTCTTGTAAGCAGCAGCGGGAGGACAAGAGACAAGACTTTGAGAGAGGAAAAAAACGTGGTCAAATGCTCTGTTGGTCTTCTTTTACTCTGAATCTGCCAAGGGCTTAAAAGTAAGTGCAAATTGAGGGTGAAGGGTGTGTATCAGCCTCTCAGGACCAGGGTACAACTTTGAGTCAGCCACTCAAGCTTGTGTGTAAATAAAGTATGTCGATAAGCCACTGGAAATATAGTTGCTGTGCTGAACATCATGGATTCCATGCTCCAGCCTGTGGGGTTTACTCTTTTTTTTCTTGTTTTTCTGTGGCAGAAGTTTTTCACAGCGGGAAACTGTTTCTTGATAGGTTCCCATAGCACCTAATTCACTGGGGCATCTGTGTTAATAGCAGCCCTGTCCTTCTGACCACTCAGCTGGTCATAGCAGCATTCTTCCAGCTGCTGCTTCATAATTAAATTAAGATCAGGTGAAAATGAGCTGTGGTTGTAGTGCATCTCATTTCATTCTGGTTGGTTTTTCTTTTTCTTTAAGCCTGCTATTTAATTAGTGAATGAGAGTATAGTTCTGAATCTTTTCTGTAGTTTATTTAACTTTTGTTTACTATTTGCATTGAAGGGGAGATGGAAAGTGAATGAAGAATTGTTACCTTGCATAGAGATCTGAGATAATCTGATGGTGTTTGGTGTGAGACTGGGGTGGTGGTGGTAGTGGTGAGTAAATAACCAAAAAAGATAAGGCACAATTAGTGGAAAGTGCATGTAGTTCTGAACAATTCAAGTCAAAACTTTTAAAAGCAAACAAGGCAGAAAATAGTAGGGAGAAAGCATTATCCTTATTTTGTACAGAGAGATTAATTACTCCTCCAAGAGTCTGTTTTAGAGGTGCAAAATGTGCTTTTCCTTAAATCCTGGCTCTGACAGGAACCAGCAAGGCTCTTCATTCTGCCCATGGGACAAAGGCAAGTGTATTGCAAGTGCAGCCTTTGTGTCCTGGATGCCACCAATGGACAAAATGGAGTTTTTCAATCCACTGAAATAAATGAATATGGAGGTTAACTGAGTACAGAAATTAAGATACAATAAATTCCTTTCCAGTCATTTGTATTTTGTAAGTACAGCTATTTATGGGTGTTTTTTTCTTTTCAACTGAGACCAGAGATTATAATAATCTAAAAATAATTACCTTGTGGGAAAAACAGGAACAAATGAATCTCAGTTCTTCTGTGTTTGATCCTTGTGCAATAGATAATAGGGTGATAAAGCTGCTATGAAACAACATTGCAGTAGTATGTCAAGCTGGGTTTTTGTTTCATTGCAAATAACTTTAAGGAATAATATTTGAAACTAGATTACATGCATTATCACATGTCATTTAGCCATGGAGATGTAAGATGAGATCAAAGCTTTTTTGGAAAATTGAAGTCCTTGGGAAAGAAGAGTTTTTGACAAATAATATCAGAATTCTGGGTTCTTTAGAGAAGGTCTCATGTTGTTGTAGAGAGGTTCAACACTTCATTACATTGCAAGGCATGTACTGACGTCTGTATGTCTGGAGAATGGGTTATAATTCTTAGCCTTTTCTTGGTCACTGTCATAGGAGGTCAATCTCTCATTAGAAAGTCAGGCTTGTGCTGTCGGTGATGTACTGTCTTGTCTTTTGCATCATTTTATAGTTAGCTACTCAGTTTGTTACATGGTAGGAGCTTTTATCAAAACAAGATTGAAGTTAGCCTTTTATTTGGTCTTCATTACTATCCTGAGTTACTTTTAGTAGGTTTTGGGGGTTTTAGAAATTCAAATCACTCTGGATTTAGTAGTTATTCTCATGGTTGCGCATACATTTTCTCCATAGAGCAGCAAAACACAGTCAATACTGGAGGGCAGGAGTTATGTTTCTGCATTGCTGGCAATGCCTCCATGGTTTGGGGAGCTGGCAGATGGCTTGTGTTCACAAGAGTCCTTCCCTCCCTGCTCAAACCTTTGCATCCAGGTTGTTGATGTTTAGCCTTAGTTATCCAGTATAAATGATGATTTGGGCATTCTCTTTCACATCCCACCAGAGTCAATTGCTCCTGCCAAAACAGAAGTAATAGCTGACACAGGAGCATGATTTCTCTATTATTATTTTCTAAAGTTTTATTTTGTCTTTTCAGCTTCTTGTTTTGCCGTTTTATGCTCCTTTTCTTCTCCTACTAGACTTTCGCCTGTTAGATTGCTTTGTTAAATGCTTCTCTTGTCTTTTCTCTGTTTTTATTGTTTTATTTCTATTCAGACTTCCAAATATTTTCAAGTTTAACTTGAGATTCCCTGGGTATTTACAGGTTCTTTCCTCATCAGATTAAGGAATCTCATGACTAAATTTGGAAGTGAAAATACAGTGGATAATGTTTGGTTTTCATTTCTTCCTCCAAACAGTATTCATCTTTTTCCCCTAACATCAGTGTGTCCAAGCATGCCACCTTTTGTTTTCTGCACTCAGAACTGAGCACTTGCAGAAAGCATTGACAAAATGTTCTGTGCTTAGGAAGCTAGCTGGAACTTGCCTCCTCGTTTAACTCTTTAGCTTAAAATTAGACCTCTGCTTACAAGTCTCAGAAGGTCTTTATCTAATTCCAAACAGCCAAATGTTCTGCTTGGGAAGTAAAAATTCTCAAAATAACAACAAAAAAAAAAAGTAACAGAAAATTTAAATCCCATAAAACTCTTGAGTGATGTTCTTAAGACAGATTTGAAATTATTAAGTTGCAGTGCTCTAGTGAATGGAAGTGTTGGACTCTAATGCATACCAGCAGTCAAAGGCAATGTTGCATATTAAGGGCTCCACCATCTTCCAGCTTTACATTGATGAGGGATTAGTATAATACTTTCTCAAAGAGCATCAGCAGCCTGATCCAGACTTGCATGTACTCAGTAGAACCTTTTTCTCCTTTCTGGGGAAAGTCCTTCAGCACCAAATGTTTCAAACACTTGTATGTATATTCTCCCCCTCTCTTCAGGAGGAGTGCCCTGAAACACTGGGATTCTCCAGCTTGTTTTTAAAATTTCAGCAGTAAAGAATTGTCCCAGTACGGTCTTCTGGAGAAGCACTACCACGTCTTGGCAGTCTGTTGTTTCAAATTGGCTGTTGTTCTCATTGTGCTTTAGCACAGGATTGATTATCTAATTGGTTACATGAAATCATTTATACATATGACCTTGTTTAATCCTTCCCAAACAGCTTAAATTGCTAGGCAATTAACAGGATTTGAGACTTTCAATAATCTCCATGATGTCTACACCTGCACAAGAATAAGTGTATTTGTGTCTGAAGTCATGAAAAAAGCAACTTCCATGTTTCTCAATTTTGTGTAAATTGTATGTTTTAATGTGTTTCATAGCATTTATTTCTTTCCCTTTTTAGGTATTACATAGAAATGGCTTTATGGATCTGGACACTGACCATTTTGAGCTGTTTTTGCGTCACCTTATCCAGAACTGAGGAACTGAAATTTTTTCAGAGTGCCACAGAGCTAAATCATCTAACAGTGGATAATGACACTGGGATAATCTATTTGGGAGTGGTAAATGCTCTGTATCAGCTTACAGAAAACCTGGAAGTAATAAGATCTGTAGAAACAGGTCCAAGAAAGGACAATAAAAAGTGCACACCTCCCATTGATGAAAATCAGTGTAAAGAGGCTGTACTGACTGACAATTACAACAAATTATTGTTGCTGAACAAGGCGGATAATACAACTGTGGTATGTGGAAGCCTTTTTAAGGGAATCTGTGCCATCAGAGATCTACAAAACATTAGCAATGAGAAGTATTACGTAGACAGTAGTGGAGAAAAGTCCTTTGTAGCAAGCAACGATGAGAATGTATCAACTGTGGGACTGATCACTTCCCTGAATAATGACCGAGTGCTATTTGTTGGGAAAGGGAATGGACCAAATGATAATGGGATCATAATCAGCACTCGACAGCTCTACGAAAGGGATGGTAAAGACATTTTTGAAATGTATACAGACTCAGCAGCTGTTAAGTCAGCTTATCACTCATCAAGCACACAACAATTTGTGACAGTCTTTGAGGACAAAAATTATGTTTATTTTATTTTCAATCAGCAAGAGAAACAACCTGTCAATAACCGCACCCTGATTGCACGTCTGTGCAAAGATGATGCCCATTATTATTCCTACTTTGAAATGGACTTGGGTTGCAAAGATGATGATGGTGCCTATGACCACTGTCACTCTGCTTATGTCACTACACCAGGAGAAGAGCTGGCTGAGAGCATGGCTCAGCAGAGACAACCTGCAGATGATCAACCAGATGACAAAGTTCTTCTTGCACTCTTCAGCAAAGTAAACAAAGAAAATGGCTCTCTAAAATCTGCCATGTGTGTATTTTCCTTGCGGCACATCAATGAAAAGATGGAAAAAAACCGAAACGATTGCTACACTAAAAAGAACACCAGCTCATTTTACAAACTTTTCTCAGCAGAAAACCCGTGTGCATTACATGGACTGGTAATATCAGTAATATCAATATTAGTTTTGGAATCTGTGTTAGAATTAGTGGAAAATATACAACTACGTGTTTTAGGGTGGCTTTGAGCTAAGATCAGATGATTGAAAACTCAATAGCTGGATTCACTGTAGAAATGGAATGTGATTGTGGGAGGTGTGGGACAGGTCAAGCAAGAAATGGTAAGATAGTAGAAATTTTGAGTCTTTTAAAAGGTTTTGATGTGTTCTGAGAGATGAATGTTGCTTTCCTAAATGCATTTCCTTTAAAGGGTTCCTCCTGCTATGGAAGCTACTGAGTCACATGCAGGGATTTGTTATGCCCACGATAAGCTTCCAGATGCTCACTGTAGACAATTCTGTTTTCAGTCAATGTATTTATAATGTTTCTAAATGCTATGAAGGTTCTTTTAGGTTATATCTGTAGTTCAGTGTTGTTTCTCACTTGTATTTGTATTTTCAGATAACAGAAATACCTAGATTTCTTAGATTCAGGTGGTGTTCATATTTTGCTGTGGCTCAAAATACTTCCATAATGAGAGCCCTCTTCTTTTTATGACTTGTCATTACCTTGGCTATAAGGTTTTTGGAGGGTACTGTTACACCCCTCCAGATACTGTTCTTCAATTTATGACTGTCTCTGAGAGGCAATTTTCAGCATCTCTGTTGGCTTCATAATGGTTTTGCCCACATCACTCTGTTCCCAAGCCCCACTTGTGCATGCCATTTGTTACCACAACCAGCCCTAAACTGGGTTGAAAAACTGAATCATCTTAAACATAACTCAGCCAGCTTTTAGGAGGAGGTTTTAATTCCCTAGCCAGAGCAAGGTGCACACTTGCATAATCAGCTGTTTGTGCATAACTTGAGAAGTGATGTGTTACAGTCCAGGGGTAGGAGTGAACAGCTGAAGAGATGGGGCATGGGGATACCTTTTGTTGGTATTGACCCATAATCCTTCATTTTCTGACACCAAGGCCCTCTCCCACACAGTAGGTTTCTAGCACTGCTAAGAAGCCAAAAGGACACTTTTTACTTCAAACCACCAGTGTTACTTGCTACAGTACCCTGCATATGGGGTAAGCATCAAACATAGAAATCCTGAATGTGACAGTGGCCATGGCTTCTGACAAAAGGGAGGTGTGGATTTCAGTTCAGAAAGACAGTGTTGTTATCAAATATAGCAGGAAAGGCAAGGTGTGAATGAACTTCCTTCTGGTGGCACTCACTGCAACTCAGGATTAAAGCATAGTGAAGAGGGAATGTGTTGGAATTCACAAGATGGTTGCCAGTGGGTTGCTTTTCTATGGATAGCAGCAAATTTAAGAAACAAAACAGCGATAGAAAAACAGTCTTAAACACAAAATTGGTTAACCCAATCTCTATGACATGTTCATTTTAATTAAACTAAGTGGTTAATTTTTAAACTGCACTGCTATAATGAAACAGAAACAAAAAATTTTCTCTTTCCATGTCTCCTGGAAAGTGAAAGCATTGAAGCAGTTTGCAATTAGCAGGCTGCTCTCTGATTGCTGCCTGTTGGCTGAGGGAAAATGGCCAGACAATCCATTTCTCTCTTTCTACTCTTGAATGTCTGAGGGGTATTATACTCTCTGGTAATAGGGCTGCACTTCATTCTTAGCTAGGAATTAGTGATCTGAATGTTTAACATCACTCTGTATTGCTATTCCTTATTAGAATGCAAGCAAAAATTTCCCCTGTGGCTCCGAACACTTGCCATACCTTTTGGGAAGTAGGAATGGTGTTACAGAGAAGCCAGTGCTGCAAAAAGAAGGGATGAATCTCACGGCTGTCACTGTGGCTGTGGAGAATGGACATACTGTGGCCTTTCTGGGAACGTCAGATGGTAAAATTCTTAAGGTAACAAACTAGACTTAAGAGACTGGAGGATGTTTAAAAGGTTGTGAACCCTAGTGCTGTCATACTGCTACTCTAAAAGTAAACGGGATTTATAAGATTGCATACCAGGAGCAAATTCTCTTGGAGCTTGGTGTTTTTAATCTCAAAGAAAAGCCGCATTATTTCTGATGTGCCTCAGCTATCTGATACCCAGATTGAATTAGCATTGCCTGAATGACACTTTTCCCAAAGGATTACATACCTACTAAGAGCTCTATATAAACAGCCTTAGGTAATCTAACAGCTGCTCTAGCTTTATCTCTATTCAAGCCCATACTAGTTTAAGAGCAACTTTTCATTTTGTAATCATTCTGGCCATTCAGTGAATAGAGGTGTCAATACAAAGCCCAGGCGGAAGCTCTGATGTATTCTGATTGTGTGGTGCTCCAGACTTGACGTGTTTGTTGTGCTAAAATGTCAAGACTGCCACACCAAACACCTTCTTTTGCTTGAAGAAGAGTAATGGCCATGTCCAACCATATACCTAGCACTGCTGAGTCCCACCAAACCATGTGGGAAATAGTCAAAAGGCATGTGGCTGTGGTGCTTAGGGACATGGTTTAGTGGTGAACATGGTGATGCTAGGTTAGTGATTGGACTCAAAGATCTTGGAGGCCTTTTCCAGCCTTAGTGATTTTGTGATTCTATGTTCCTAAGAGCCACATCTTTTAAATACCTTCAGGGATGGTGATTCAACCACTTTCCTGGGCAGCCTGTTCCAATCCTTGACAAACTTTTCCATGAAGGAATATTTCGTAATATCCAGTCTGAGCTTTCCCTATTACAACTTGAAGCTATTTCCTCTCTCCCTGCTGCTTGCTATTTGGGAGAGGAAACCAAACACCACCTCCTTTCAGGTAGCTGTAGATAGCAGTAAGGTCTCCCCTGAGCCTCTTTTTCTCCAGACTGAGGAACCCCAGCTCCCTCAGCCACTCCTCATAGGACTTGTGCTCGAGCCCCTTCACCAGCTTTGTTGTCCTACTCTGGACACACTCTAGCACCTCACTTTCTTGTTCTGAGAGGCCCAAAACTGAACACAAGATTTGAGGTACAGCCTCACCAGTGCTGAGTACAGGGGGTATGGTCACTGCCCTAGTCCTGCTGTCCGCATTATTGCTAATACAACCCAGGACGTCATTGACCTTCTTGGCCACCTGGGCACACTGCTGACTCATGTGTAGCCAGCTGTTGACCAATATCCTCAGGTTCTTTTCTGCCAGGCAGCTTTCCAGCCACACTGTCCCAAGCCTGTAGCATTACATGGGGTTGTGACCCAAGTGTAGGACCTGGCACTTCATCTTGTTGAATGTCATACAATCAGCCTCAGCCCATCAATCCAAACTGTCCAGATCCCTCTGTAGAGCCTTTCTGCCCTCCAGGAAATCAACACTCACACCTAGCTTTGTGTTATCTGCAAACTGACTGAGGGTGCACTTGATCCCCTTGTCCAGATTATTGATAAAGATATTAAACAGAACTTGCCCCAGTATTGAACCCTGAGGAACACCACAAGTGACTGGCTGCCAACTGGATGTAACTCCATTAACCACCACTCTCTGGGCCCAGCCATCCAGCCAGTTTTCCACCCAGTGAACAGCACACCAGTCCAAGCCATGAGTAGCCAGTTTCTCCAGGAGAATGCTGCGCGAAACAGTGTCAAAGGGTTTAGTAAGGTGTAGATAAACAACATCCACAGGTCTTCACTTATCCACTGAGAGGGTCACCTTGTCATAGAAGGAGATCAGGTTAGTCAAGCGGGATATGTTTCATCAACCCATGCTGAGCCTGATCCCATGGTTGTCCTGCACATGCTGCATGATAGCACTCATGATGATCTGCTCCATAACATTCCCTGATCTTCCCGGATCCTCTTTTCTACTCTTCTTGTGGATGGGTGTCCCATTTCCTAACCTCCAGTCAAATAGGACCTCCCCAGTTAGTTGGGACTGTTGATAAATGATGGAAAGTGGCTTGGTGAGCTCTTCTGTTAGTTTCCTCAGTACCCAGAGACTTGTGTGTAAAAGTGGTGCAGCAGGTCACTGATCAATTCCCTTTGAATTATGATTTCTTCTTTCTGCTCCCCATCCCTGTCTTTCAGCTCAGGGGGCTGGGTACCCAGAGAACAACTGGTCTTACTATTAAAGACTGAGGCAAAGAAGGCATTGAGTACCTCTGCCTTTTTCTCATTTTTTTGTCACTAAGTTTCCTCCCACAACCATTTAAGTATGGAGGTTTTGTTGTAAATGTATTTTTTAGAAACATTTTTATTGTCTTCTACAGCAGTAGTCATGATATTTGGGGAGAAAAGCAAATTAACCACCTTTCTTTCTTTCATGAAATAGGTGTTCCTGTCATCCACTGCAACTGAGTACAGCTCTCTTACTATTGAACTAAACAAACCCATAAAGAAAGACCTGGTCCTTGACCAAACCCAAGAAAATCTGTATGTGATGACCACAGACAAGGTAACATGTCCTGCTTACATTAAGGACCAGACCCACTTTCACTTTTTCTGCAACTTTACCTGAGATTTATACATTTCTCATTTGTTCCTGGAAGTCTCCCTATTTGCTGGGGCTCCCTCCACCCTATGTTTGTGAAGACCCTTCTCAAGTCTAAGCTGGTGGAATTGATTGTTGTGACTTGGGGAACTGTTATATGTGTGATGCTTAGCAATTGGGAATGGGAAGTGAGTTCACCTCTGAAGCCCTCAGAGTCTGTGAGAAGGATGAAGATGTTTGGCACCATCATGCCTTGGGGTCAGGCAGCCATAGCACTTGGTGTGGTGTGTGTGGGGTACCAGTGGGTGTTCTAGCTGCCATCAGTCCTTTTCAAGAGTACTTCAGCATTTAGAATGCTGATGGCTGGCATACTTTTACCATTTACACATCTATAAAGCCACCAGGAGTTTTTGTAGGTCTTACTGTCAGAAACTAAGAAGCAACAGAGAGAATGATATATTTGGGAAACACTTTTGTTCAAGCTTCTGCTAACACTAAGTGAGTGCAGCAGAAGTCCAACTTTGCTGCAAAAGCACAGGCAGTCTCTTCTAGGTTCCCCCTCTCTGTGCTCTCAGGTGAGGGCACAATGGAGGTTTGTAAAGAAAGGGAGAAAAAAAGCAAGTAGGCAATGAGAGGGATGCCAGATTTCTCCTTCACCTCCAGCTGTAACTCTCTTCTGACACTTCTCTTTGTGGAGGCTGGAGCTGCCAGCCTCAAA